CAAAAATTGTGCTATAAGTATGACAGATAGAACGAAAGACTTCGAATAAACACTACGTTTTAAAGCCAGATTTACTTCTAAAGAATAAAACTTTTACATAAATCATTCTAAGCATAAACTCGCTCCTCATTTACAGAACATATGCAAATTAATAAAAACTACTTTGTCAAATCTCTATCGGCAGTTATATATATCCTAAAAACACTTCAAACAGAAAAAAAAAGGAAGCACAATCGGTTGAACCTGAAATAGAAAGAATTTCAAGTTAGGTAATTGACTGTTCGCGTATATCTAGTCTTAAGCCTGGATCATGGAGCCAAGTAGGACGAGAAACTTATTTGAAGTTTAATGATTTTTCTCATAAGAAATTGATAATCTTTTCTGTTTGAGTTCTGTGTTATGTGTGTCTACGCTCTTTTTCGTTACAATTTAATTGCGCTCGCACTAACTCGTTCATTGCCGATCATAGTGCACTGTTGTCTACGCTCTCGCAAGTTATGAATAATCAGGCTACCGGTGTGTTGTTCGTACAAATAAGAATCGGCAATGAATGAGTTAAGCTTCCTCATCCAGATTTCCGACTGTTCTGAGGGACAGTTGTCGTTCCTAAGTTACTTATGTTAATAGAGGCTTGCTAAATAGTGAATACGTTCGATATATTATTGAAATGGCGAACGACGACGATCCATTTTGGGGGATACGCGCACGAATATGATATAAATGTAACCCCATATACAAAATATGTATATAAGTTATATATACACTCACAAGGCATCATGCTATATTCTAAGTATATGATGTAATTACACTTGGCGTACGTTCATATGTGCCGTCACACGTAATTGACAACTGTTAATATTCTTCCTGCGTGCAAAAGTACGAACTTCAGTAAGGATTTGCTAACCGTCGAACTAATCAATGTCATAGGACTTCATCAAAATTGTCATTACTATAGTTATTCATACGTTATGTGATTCTTATCAATTTTTATCGATACGTGCGCAACGGTAATAATTATAGAAACGGACCGATTTGACAAAAAGTGAATCTTTTGAGATGTTACTTCCGATAAATTATAGCGCTCGTAGCATTATATAGTTATTGAATCTGCTGATCCATTTTTTTCAAAAGATTCATTATTTGACAAACACGGTATTATAATTGCGAAGTATTATCAGTTCTTCAATTAGTTGGTCTTTCGATCGACTATTCGTACGTATCTTTGGTATAGTTTCTGTTTTATATAATATTTATACATATATTTATTACATAAGATATCAAATCGTCTGCCGCAAGACTGTAATTCAATTGATGCTATTCAGAACGATCGTTTAATAATTTGGAATGTACGCTCTCTCATATAATACAGATTCTGGTTACACCGCATTACACAAATTAATATAACATAAGATTATGCCGCTAGAACAATCTTTCGTATATTTTGCAATATCTTAATAGCCGTGTTATATCAGTATCCGTTTACGCCAGCTGAATACGAGCGGCAGAAAAATGTATGTATATTGCGTCAATTTATTGCGCAATAAATAAAAATTTTAAACAGTATCTAGAAGATAACGAAGCAATGCACACGTACATGTACTACATTGTTTTATTATCATCTGGGTATTATATCTTTCTTATAAATACGCCAGATTAACGCAGCATCCACGCAACATCTTTTTGTCGCTCATATGCAGCTGGATTAAAGTTCAAAAAATATGAATGTTTTACGATTGCATTTCTATTTATTTGTTACATTTATTGATAATTTATTCTATCATCATTTAATTATATATATATATTGATTATAAAATCACAAGGCAAGAAAAGTTGATTTTTTATATGTATTAAAATTTACATATCAAATAGATCTGTGACATGTATAACACGGCTTAGTTTAGTATTATAAATTGTTCAAAAGATTTTTATTTTATTTTTCTGTGCAATAAATAATAAATATTATTTATTCTAAAATTAATAAAAATCAATAAAATTATTATTTACGAGGAATTACAAACATCACGGTGTTGTAAAATATATAGCCTTTTTCAGATTTCTAATATTTTTGAAATTATGTGTAAATATATTATTTCAGAAATGGCATAATCACAAATACATCATTTGATACATTCATGTGCAATGTGTTATAAATCTGTATATTTTATATTTTTCAGAAGATTATATATACAGAATGAGATTCATAATCGTACTAGCAATTTGTTCGCATTATATTGTTATTAAGAGCTGAACGATTTATAAATTTTTATAGTGCTATTATTTTATTACACACATACATACACATACATACACACGACGCCAATTGATGAATTAAGAATACCATCGTCGATTCTAGACATTTTAAAAAAGTTTCGATTTGTTTCTACGGCTACAAATTATAATAATTCGACAAATATTGTACGTTAGGTTTAATAACGTCTTATTATTCATATCGGACATGTAGCGAACGAGAGGATAACCAAACTTTCGGGCATACTTTCTGTGATTCGCAGCGAAAGGATCGCAATAGCGGTAAAAAGGAGCAATGGCGAAAAAGCTCGACGGCATGCATATAGCTTGCAATGAGGAAACTTGCAATATAACAAGCAATAACTAAGCCCCTTTTAATTCCATGTATATTAAATGATTATGTGGATGCTTAAACGAGATTTATTGAATTATAAACGAGCAAGCCAAGGGATAAGATGAAATACCAATTTTACATATTCTTACTAATCGTAAACGATTACAGTACATATAGTGACATACTAAATTATACGATTATGTATCGACTTAAAAGAAAAAGAACAAAAAATGATATATATATACACACATAACAATAGGCCGCCTGCTAGCGAGCAGGCGAGCAGACGCTAATTTAATCTACGTAAGTACGTAAAAGTTTCAATTTTACACTACCGATAATAATGACATAATGATAAGACTATATAAGATATATTGATGATTTATAATAATTATAACATTGTACAGAATATTTATGAAAGGCGCGCTGCTGGAGGGAGAATCGAGCGATTCTTTTTTCGCGAATGTTAAATCGCGATCGCGATTGTAGCGAGAAATAGATACACCTGTTCAATCACTCGAGCAAGATTTGGGAGCGAAAGTCAGATAAAGGAAAGATCGATTCTCTGTTCAAAAGCGGCCAGACTATAATGGATGTTTTGTAAGATAAACACAAAACGATCGCGGAGCGCCGAGATTGCGTTCGAGGAAGCGAATCGATCGATTGGCCCGATTAAAAAATTTCATCGCATGCGTCGACGATACTTTTCTCAAATGGGGAAAGAGATACCGAGAGATCGGTCGATTGCGCGATACTCGAGCGATTATGAGGGAATACTCGGTCCCGGGATATTTAAGTGGGAAAAGCGCGAGATAGGAACAAAAGATAGAAAGTGAGAAATTATCCGCCATGAGGTGCGAGCGAGGGCCGATAATCTAATTAATTGTGTATGTATACAAACAAAAATAAATATAATATTGCGATTATAAATATTAAACTAATAAAGAATAACAATATTATACCCTTCTGTACATATAAATATATATTATATGATATGCGATGATTATTGCGATATGATTTATTATAAATATATATATACATAAATATAAATATAACTCATGAATTCACATTATTATGTTTATTATTGTTTACTTATGATTATTGAAATTATTATCATTGCGACGATGACGAGGATAATGATGATGAAGATGATGATGATGACGATTATTATTATTATTATTATTATGATAATATTATTAATATTTAAGAAAAGGTTCACAACGTGCCGTGTGTATGTGGGAATAAAATATATAATATAATGGACATTGTTCAATTCAATCTAATGTCTTTGTGGTTTATTATTTCCTATTTCCCTTTTAAGATATTATTGGAATGCTATAAAAACTTTGCGCTACTAAATTTAAAATGTAACGAGTACATTAATTTGATTAGTATATGTTTTGTAGCGCTAAGTGTTTTTAATTAAAACTTTTGTATACTTAAATATATTTCACTATTTTAAAAGACTGCAATATAAATATAGAATCTTTTTAATATGTAAGAAGTAATAATAAGTCAATTTGTAGCATAAATTTTTATTAATTGGCGCACAATTTTTTAATGTCACTATTTCTTTTGGTTTCGATAAAATAACACTGTATATTACAAAAGACTTTTTCACACTTGTTAAATAAATGATTTATGAAAAAAGGTTTGGCAACCGTTTTTATTCTTCTCTCTGGCGAAAGGTTCTCTCACTATACTATATAGTTGTCACGTGATTATACGTACAAAAGAAATATTTCTTTGAAGCTTGAAAAAAGTCTTTCAGGTAATGCATACTTGTGAGAAATGTTTTGTATTTTAAAGAATTTTTATTGTTTCCGAAAAAGAGAAAATTCTTTTAGAAAAATACAAATGCATGCCTATTTTTTATTTATTACATATGTCTATGGGATAATGAAATACATATTTAGAAAAACTTATATTTGGAAGAGTCCAAAATACATCGATTTTTCAATATTTATATTATTTAAAACTTTTATATTTTGCAAATATGCTTTAGAAATTTTAAACTTTTACATCTCTCGAAAATATTCTTTTAAAATTTTTTTAGATGGTAGGATATAACGATATCTGGAAACTAAGAACGCGCGCATCATGCACTTTTCTTCGTGTATTTGTGTATTTTAATATTTTAATATTCGATTTCTATTGTTAAGCTGCGTCTTATAGAGAACATATTTCAATTAATATTTTGCACTATTGTAATCTTTTTTATAAAAAATGATTATATTAAAGCAAAATAAATCAGCATTTCTTTTTTTCTCATTTTATTTTTATTTGATTTACGTTCTTATTATTTCTCTTATGTACTATTTCTTTCTTTTTATTTTATTATTTTATTATTTTGAAATCTCAAGAAGATAAATATGAAATTCATATAAATGTTGAAGAAGACGTGTTTATCTAGATTTATTTTTATTTTACAATGTAACATTTAATAAAAATTGTGTACACTCTAAATATTTTGTATAACGTAATTTCAACTATTAGTTTTGAAATATTCTGGCAGTTATAGCGGCATCCTGCGGGTAACATTCTGCCAGCTTTTCATTTGGTACGTAATGAGTGTTTTTGAATGTACGGAAATAGCGACCTATTTCATCATTATTGATCCATTTCGGCGTTGTTAAACTTATAGCGTCTAAAATAAAAAACACAAATAAAAAATAAATTAATAATAACTAATATAGATAAAATATAAAATGAAATAATATAATACAAAAATAATATAACTAATATAAAATAGTTAAATTAAAAAAAAAACAAGATAAACCAAACTAAAACGTTATTTTACATTGTGTAGAAACAGATGAGCTCGTAGAATAAACAAATATAATTTAAAAGTAAAGACGCGTTTAATGACGTTCATACCTTCTTCCACGTAACATATTTCATTATTTTCGCTAAGAATTATATAATATATCCGTTGCTCTATAGTATTATAATCACTGCAGGGCCTCGGCCAAACAAAGTACGAGCAGTTCTTGATGTGCCATCCGACTATTACACCTGTAGAATTATCTGTAGAATGATCACCATGTGTTACAATCATTCCAACCGCAAATTTCATTTCTTGTGATCTTGATTGGCTTATTCTATACACACTTTGCTGGAAAGTGTAAGATCATACTTCAATTGGTATTTCTTGTCAAATAATTCTTAAATAAACTTTTGTGTAGCAAGTTAAATTACAGCTAGTTAAATTATAAATAATTATAATTTGTATGTAATTGTATGTGTTACCAGAGATAAACCTCAGAAAGATTTCTTTCTATTATTATTATTATTATTATTATATATATATGTATATACAGGGTGCGGCATTTATAGTGACGCGGGCATATTTTTCGGAAACGAAGTGAGATATCAAAAAATTCAAAAAATAAAAGTTGCATGGTTTCGAGGGGGACACATGATAAAAATATGGATTTGACCATAAGTGGTCTTTTCAAGGTGAGGTCAACGTGGTCGATGTTTTCTTAAAAGGAACTCCCCATTTTTTATTACATATTCTTGTAGCTTACCTCGAGAGCTTTCCAAAACACTATAATAAAGTATTTTTTTATTAAGTACTTTTTGAGTTATTTTATATTTTAATCTGACATATTTTGATATAAAAAATAAAATATCTCGTAAAATATTTAGTTCTCGATAATCTTACCGTAATACTTTTATGTACAGAATAATGAGACAAATCAAATAGTAAAAAAAAATAATTGTTTTTAAGAAAAAGTATGTAATTATTTACAATGTATTTTTTAAAACAATTATATGTGTTTTTCTTTACACTAATTGATTTGTCTCATTATTCTGTACATAAAAATATTACGATAAAATTATCGAAAACTAAATATTTTACGAGATTCTAGTATCTGTAGTAGCAAAAAAAAAAAAAAAAGTATTAGACATGTGAATAGAGTTCCGATTACAAATAAGTAAATAAGAATTCGTCTAATTTTTTAGCTTATAATACTTGTTTTATTTATTCATATCTTTACCAAAATTACAAGTTTATTAAGTAGTGTTAATATTAATGGAAATTAAAAATGAGTAATTACCAACCTTTGTAGCTGATAATAATTTCAAATCGCAGGCCATGTCCGAGGACCGTATCGCGACAAGACACTTTGACAATTTGTTTATTCCGCTTTTTATGTTGATACATCTTACATATCTTATATTTCTATTTGTAATACTGTAAACAATTAAAAGTTATATA